AAAAAAAAGAAAGAAAGAAAGAAAATTGCTAAATATTAAACTAGTGGTTAAGGGAGCTGTATCCAACATGGCTAGCTGACAATTGTGCAAAAACTAGCCCAGCTGAGAGTCTGTGTGTGGATATCCAAAATTAACAACAGGATAGAGAAAGGAAAGAGGAAGATTGTGATATAACCACGCCCCTCGGAGGGTGCTCCTCCTCCTTCCCAGTCTCCCTTTGGCAAGCATATACACCTTCTGGAAATTTAGGGGGGAAAAAAATCCCTCTTATGTTATTCCTTTGCATCACAACAACTGTGTAAATCATGCTAAATTTACAATCTGGTACTCTCAACTTTTGAGAAATATACAAGTATATTATAATCTTTAAAACATCAAAAATATTGCCACACTGTGTTAGAAAATGGGCATCTGCAGGTTTTTCCTACTATTTTTGTGGTACTATAAAATTTATTAAAATTTCAGAATGTGTTAACAAGTTTTATCCAATACATGCTATTCCAGTGGGATAAAAACCATTTGCAAGTTCCATTTAGATTAACAAATCCTTTGAGAAAAGAATGTAGTACATTCTAGTTATACTGTTTCTAGAACAGCAAAAATCTCTATAACCTATTTCCCTACTGTTTTCTTCGGAACCAACAGAGCTGAATGGAACTACCATCACAAAAATTCAAGGCAGCACTGTAGTTACTGACAGAGAACTAACTGAATTTTCAGCAGTCTGAAGTCTTCACAAATTAAAACTTTCTATTTCACTTAAGTGATATATGAAGACATCGAGTTTAAATAAATTAAACAAACTGAGAAGATTGTTGCACTCTAAGACACATAAAATCATTTAAAAAATAAAACTCTCCTAATGCTAGGAGTTCATCCTTAGGCAACGCCCTCTCTTTCACAATTTAATGAGTTGCAAGTTGCCGCTAGTATTCCCATGCAGACTGAAGTTGAAAGGCATTAAGTTTGATTTTCCTGTATTTTTCCAATTTATTACAACTGTTTCACCCTAACAGAATTAAATATTTGTTTACGTAACTTTCTGAAAACAAATTTTCTAGTAAGCCAACTTTAAGTAATTCACGTTCAAAACCTTCTTAGAAAAATCTATTCATCTGAAGAATTCAGCTATTGAACTTGACAGAAAGTATTCCAAATTATTAAAAAAAAAAAAAGTATTAAACCATACAAAAATATTTAGGAATCTCAGCTTCCTATGCCCTATCACATTGTCAAAGAACTTTATATACCTTCTTTGGATGTGTAAAAGATTCCAAAGTAAATTCATTTTGACAGCAAAGAACTGAAACTAAGAATTTGATGACTGTAAGCAAAAAGTATAGTGAGGAGAAAATAACTTGAGAAAATATTTAGTGAGGTAAAATACCCTTACGAAAGAGGTATTAAAATCATTTACCCACTTCTGCCAGACAAACGGTTCTCTCCCAGAACACACTGCTTACTATTCAGTCAAGTATGACTGCCAAGTGTTTCTAAACCTATATTAGGATTGTTCAAACTGGAAACTTTCTCCACCAGCATTATTACAATTAAAAGAAAATAGTTTGTTTTTGCTTAGAGTTGAAGATCAATTGTACATTATGCTATTGATAAAATATGCTACTTTATCAATAGTAATTTTTTTAAAGTCTCAAATTAAAACTAAGGACAAGGTTTGCTACATAAATTGCTTCCAATTCTCAGAAGACTAATTTATTTAGTTTCCCCAAATCTAGACCTAAATGGCTGAAGGAAAAAAGAAATTTTATAAACAACTTTTGTGATCTTAGTTTACATTTGGCAAAACAGACAATTTATCCTCATCAAGCGACTATCATGCCAAATGTAAGAAAGATTCTTCAAGTTGTACAGCCTAATCTGTAAAAATTACAACCCAGTGATGTGTAAAAGCCATTACAGAGGATCTGTACGTATTATTATTAACCTGTAAGATATTTTACAAATAAGGAGGATCTGCTGCATAAGACTGTTACTACGTTAAACGTTTTTACATATATCTTAAGAACACAATGTCTTATTCATGTTTAAACTGAGATGTATCTGATCTATGTAATGCTATTGCTTTTCTGGTAATTATTTCACAGTTGTCTGAATATTGCAAACTCTCCTTCCCATTTCTGCCATTAGTACATTTCAATTTTGCTTTTAGACAAAACATGGATATAAGGCTCCTCTTCAAAGTTTTCTGCTTTTTATATAAATAACAATGCTACTGAGTATAACCAAATGCCTGTACATAAATGGCTTTGCCATTTCTTATTCCGTTGCTTTTCTATGATGAAAAGAAAAAAGATTTAGGCTTACCAAAAACATTAATTTTTCTTTTACATACACAGCTAGTGGGATTTTCAAAAAAGGACAATTTATTCTGATATCTACCATCCATCCTAGAAATGTCAAAAAAAGAGAACTTCCCAAATGCAAAATACTTAGTAAACCTGGTATTTGCTGTAGAGGAAATTTCAAATTAAATTATATTTACAAAAAATAGGCCATCAATTAAACTGAACATCAACATAACTCAGCCATTAATCAATCCTCAACATAGAAGAGATCTATAACTTACATATATTAATTAAAATATCACTATATTTGCTGGTGGAATTCACAGATGAATTTTGAGAATGCACCAGATTTATCTTATTTTGAAATGCTCGGGCTAATATTTATTGGTATAATCAGAGCTCACATTTAAGTGTCCTGGGGAGAGGCAATTCAGAACAACACTTAGTGGCATGGAGAAACCGGTCCAAAATGAAAAGGGAAATAAACAAAAGCCACGTCCCAACAGAGCGGATAAATGACAAATAGATCACTGAAAGCAAAACGAAAACGGGGCTCTCCTGAGTAGCCTGAATAAAAGATTTTCACTCATAACGTCTGATAGTATCCTACCTCACTTCATTCACTTCCCAACTTCCTTACTTTTCAAGGGCCAACACGGGGCATCCCTTTTTCTCTAAGTGTATGTCGAAAGAATCTGTGTAAGAAAGAGGGAAGGAATGAACAATTCTCCAGAAGGCTGACAAACAGGTGGGTTAGAGCAGCGGGAGCATAATCTAGATACTTAAGGGGCAGCTTTGAGATGACAGATGTGGTTAAAGGAAACACTGCAAATCGGAAGAAGCTGTCGTATGGCAGACAGACCGGGGGCTGATTGCAAGCACGGGGAAGGGGGGGGGGGCGACAGAACTAACACCTCCATGGGACCCGGG